GACTGCTAGAACAGCACACAATTACATTTGTCTTCAAAAGATTTTCTTGAAAGCTTACTTCCACTGCTAGCTGTCAGTAGTGAATGGTTTAAACATCTCTCAAGATTTATCTTTCAAACGTGATGGCTGACTTCATACTCATCGGTTCTATTACATTTCTGCATTTCACCATTAGCTTCTTCACTGACACATTTTATTCATCACATAACATTTCTGGGAAAATAAGCATAACTACAGGCAAAGAACTGCAGCTACTGAAAATATGTCTCTAGAAAGAATTCCTTGCTCTTCTTAATCCTATGAGATATAAAGTCACTGATGCTGTGTGCCTTCATCTTCATCCTTCCTAAACTGGTTTAGCCACCACCCTGACAAAAAGCTTTTTTCTCTTCTCCCCATCCATTCCACCTCAGATGCTTTTATCGATCTATTTCCCCCTCCTCCTACCTTGTCAGACTTTGATATATTCTTTGTGTGTCAAAATGTATTTCTTTCTCCCACTGAAGTACATTTTACTTAGTCCCTACATCTTTTTTCCAGTATACCTACCACATACTGTTAGGTTGATTCTTCTTCTGGATACACATACTGCTCTGTACCTTCTCTAATCTTGTATTTGCTTGCCTGTTTATGATTTCCTGTCCTATTTCCTCATTCCTTTCTCCTTTTCATTTTTACTAAAGAGATTATTCTAAACGTCAAGTTAGCAGAGAAAAGTGTGGGGGAAAATATTAGAAATTACTGTACTGAAACATTTGATTTTTAGGATAAGCAACATAAAGAAATTCACTTAGTATTAAATAAGTAAAGCTTTGTTCAAAAAACAACCACACAAAACAAATTAATCATAGCACTAACAGAATAAAAGTAGGTACCTCTGCTGTTCATTCCCTGTAATGAAAAGTGTTGCCTGCATATTTCAGTGTTTAGACTATCAAACTTGTGATATCTTAATACATATCACAATCATCAGGTGATCAAGCTCTTTTGAGTCATTACAGCTTTGAAGTACATCTCTGAATTATATGAAACATTTTCTCACACACACAGTATCTTCACTACAATTAATTTTAGTCCCAGCAAGACCTTCACTTAAAAGCATTATCACATGTCAACATCTCTGGTACTAATACACCAAACCTAATCTGAACAGACATTACTGAACAATACAACCAGACTTAACTCTGAACACTTTAGAAAGGCACAACCTGACTGCAAAGAATATTTATAAAAATGTGATTTTATTTTTTTTAACATTAAGAACAACAGGTATCGTTAAAGATGTGTTCCAGGAGAAAGATTTTGTTCTAAGTGCCACACCAAATGTTCTCCTCCATGTCAGCTTTCAGCTAATGCTACATATATTTGAAATTACACTGGTAAAACTTATTATTAAATCAAATGTTTTTTAAAGATCCAAAAAAAATTATCATCTGGACTCAAAGCATCATAGATATTCATTATCAGTCTTCCCACATATACAGAGTTAATCTTCTCTCCTTGGAAGTTGATCCAAATACTGATATGCTCAGACCAGTATAACTGCTGCCTCTACTCCTATAAAGTCGCAGTCCAGAAATCAGTTACAAATTCTCCTCACATCTATCTATATAAGCACAGGTAATTCACTATTTCAGTTCAGAACTGCTGGATTTTCAAACATTTTCAGCTTGACTAGTACAGTGATCTCACTTGGACCATTTTAGTAAAAACAGCTCTTTATCTCCATATGTGGTCACAAAAATATTCTCCACAGTTTTGTAGACCTGATGGAGACAACTACCTACTTCTGCACCACTCTCTCTTCTGCTATACAACAGAGAGCAAGAACTTTGAATATGTAAGATAGCAAACCATACTAAAAAAAAATAAAAAATAAAAAATTTAAAAATAGAGCTTAGTGCAGTCCGGTCTTTGAAAATTTCATGGACAGAGGTCCCACAGCCTCAGTGGATAACTTGTTCCACTGTTTAATTATCCTCACAGTGAATTCATCACCATTGTTCCTCATCTTAATATGCACCACTGTAAAGAGTCTACCTCTGTCTCCTCAATCACTGCCCCATAAGTGCTGGGGGCTGCTGTTGGTTCCCCCTAAAGCCATCTCTTCTCCAAGCTGAGCAGCCTTCTCCTCAGGGGGCAAGTGATCCTGCCTGATCAGCTTGGTAGTCCTCCACTGAGCTCCCTCCGGTTTACACACAAAATGAGATGCAGTATCTAGATGGGGTTTCGCAAGTCCTCAGCAGAGGGAGACTATCAGTTCTCTCAACCTCCTGAATGTTCACCTACTCACAGAGAGCAGAAGGCTGCTGGCCCTCTTTTGTTGCCAAGGCACCATGCTGTCCCCCAAGAACTCCAAGTCCTTTTTGGCAGAGCTGCTCCCCAGCCAGCTAATCCCCAGTCTGTCCAACTGATGGGAGCTTCCCACCCAGATGCAGGACTTCACATTCACCTTTGACTTCTGTCAACCCAGCCTCTCCAGCTCCCTCTGAACAGCAGCTCTGCCTGAAAACACATTACCTTAGTAAAAAAAACAACCTTCAACATGGAAAAAAATAAACTGTCTTCAGGAAAGGCTATGCTAATATTGTTATTTCTGATGCTATGAGAAGCTCCAGCTCTGCCCCAGACAAGCAAGGAAATAGGATACAGTACAACTCTTTCCTCACATCAATTATTCCACATTCTGATAACAAACTTGCAGAATATGTTCTGTGTCTGTGTTTTGTTTTGGCTTACAAAAGCTGGATGACTTATTGATCATAACATCCACATTTGCAGTGTTAGCATACTTCTTCCTCTGTTCTGAGAAAATCATTACTATGGTATCTTAAAGCAGTTCTTTGCCTAGGAAAGTACTTGGAAGTACCCATTATCTTCAGTAAGTAGGTCCTTTCTTTTTTCTAGTACAAGCATTTCTAATCCTTGCTGAAAAAAAGTCAGGGCCGTCACGCCAACTGTATTTTAAAGTTAGAGATCAGGAGCATTTTGTCATTGTAAAATTTTTAGACAAATATAAATTAATCTTCCCTACAAAATGTCTTCTAAGGAAAGACTTCAAGTCATTCCATGCAACAAAAAATAAAATTTATCAGGAAGATACAGTAAGCCTCAAGATGAAACTAAAGTCTAAATCTACAAAAAATTCTCAGGGAGATTCATTTCAGATGGATTAGAATGAAACCATTAAATTTAAATTGGTAAGTTTTATCTTCTCAGTTGGTAAGTTTACCTTCTTCATAGGTTTTGGCCAGACCATGAAATCAAAAAATTGAAGTGTAAACACCCAGATTCCACTATTCATCAAGACCAAACAGAAGGAATAAACGAAGATGCACAGAACAGAAAATAAAGAGTAACAACAGCAAGTTATAGACCTAAAAAAGGACATGATGAAAAGGTATCCCCTCTCTTGATATCTGAAACATGCTTCAACCACAGCACTATCAGATCTCCTGGGATTTCCAGATAAGGATCATCACACAAAGAGAGACACATAAATCCATGTGCCATATGTCAGCACTCTGCACAGCAGACTGCAGATCTCTACCTGCACTTGACTAATGAAAGATTGTCATCAAGTTCAGAACGAACTGATATATTGTCAATGGGTTAAGTGTCTTGATCCAAGAAAAACTTTCCATAGGGGAGCTAGACTTAAAAACAAATCTAACATAAATGAATGCTGAGAACCATATCATCAAAAAAAGCAGTTAGACTAATTAAGTGCCATCCCACAGTCACCATAACATTCATCAAATTGCAAAGTCAACTTTGTTGATTTCCACTTGAAAATGCCACAAGCATCTCAAGAAATATACAAAATGAGCTCTCCTTTAAAAAGCACTTTTAGTTATTCAAGCTGCTGGTATTTCAATATATTCACATGAACATTTGCTCTAACACAATCCATTGTATATTTCCTGCAAAATCTTCAGGTAACTAGGAATCTACTACACCCCTTCACATTTAAAAAAAAAAAAAAGGCCCTCATTTGAAATACTTCCAAATTCTGGTACACATGTGAGCAGGTACCAGTCTCCTCCCTCAGGAGGCAAGGAGAATGTATAGTCTGAAGAAGCAACAGAACCAGAGACTTGCACTGAACTGCACACCAAAAATATGGCATATAGGTGAATCTGGCTTAAAAGAAAAAGCCATACAACTACAATAATCAGCCAATGACAACATGTCCCCAAGAGAAATACAGTTAATAGGTTCTACTGAAATTTTAGTATGTCATTAGGCAATTTTGGACTAATCCACGCATCAGTTAAATTAATGAAAAATTGTAGAAAGAGGTGAACATATTCCATAAGGGCTAATGTAAGTACCTAAACCATACAATAAAAACCTTGCTGTCTCTCTCTGCAAGCAAAATTATCTCTTCTCCACTTTAGTTTATTGTGTATTAAATATAACACATATCTAATACAACAGGAGTATCCACCTCTTTTCAGATGGTGACTAAAATTTATGCCTGCCAGTTGTCCCCTGCTGGATGCAACCTGCAGGCCATCAGCTGGATGGACCTTGACAACAAAGCAAGAATCTATGGTACAGGTCCATAGCTCACCCACAGCAGGTCTGACATAACACATATTTGACGGCTCTACGCTGATGAGATCGGGTATTTTTTTCCCTAGGAAAAACACTGGGGTACTTTGTTTTTAAAAAAGTCTATATAATTTACTCTGACATGTAAATTAGCATTGGACAATGAAGAAAAAAAATATTGTCATGACTTACAGTGACAGTTAGCCACCTAAATTAAGTACTACCACTTTTTCCTAATAGAAGTTCTATCCAGATGAACTGTATTCTGAAAGACAAATTGGACTATGATATTACATTAATAATAACAAGATTTAATAATAGTAAGACTTAATTCTTCATGGTACACTGCTTTAAATAAGAAGAAAACCATATTAAGTGAAAGAACTAACAATCTATTTAAGACATCAAATAATTAAATTCAAAGGGGATGTATCTCTTGTTACCTCAGATCTTTCCTATTCACTATCTTTGTCTGTCTTCCTGAAAATAAGAAAAATAACTGCATATAAACTTAGAAACACAGAATTAGCCATTCATGCCAGAGATGAACGCATTTTGGAGGAGATCATTCATGCCACAACAACTCTTAGGCATATAACTGCACTGCAGCTTCTCATTGCTGAGAGGAGAGGAAGTTTCTCCAAGCAATCTACAACACATCATGAATGACTAGGATGGAAAGAGAAAGACAGTCAGATGTCTTCTCACAAAAAATGCTAATTCCTTTAAGACTTTTTAGAATTCATTTGAGATGGTGAGTTGTCTTCACGTCAGAGGCACAAAGGGAAAGGAAAAGCTTTGGTGACTGGCTTCCCTGTGGAAGAGCTGCCGGCTGCAGACTACACTTCCTTACTGAGGAGCCGCTGCAGCTATGGGTCTGCCCCCTGAGGTTGCCCTGAACAACCAGAGGTACTAACAAAGACCTGGACTTCCCCACAGAGGTGGATGTGAGATCCACTGAGGCACACATAGCAGGTGGCTATGGGGAAAAAAATCTGGCTTTTTCAGCATGCAGAGGAAGGCAGAAGATCCACTGTCTGGAAGGCAGAGAAATCTCAAACTAGAAATACTGTAAAATACTTAATTAGATTACTCCTCATCAAATCTTGATGCAGGGACTTAAAACAGTTACACTGAAGGATCAAACTTGATGCAGAAGCTGGGGTAAATGTTCCCATTTTGTTTATTCTGATATCAGCCTAGATAAATTGCAACAGATCCTGCAGACTTGAACATCCACCAATGAAAGCAGATTTTAGAAACTACTTGCAGCTTTGCCATATCATACAGATATCCCTCCTCTCTGAAGCAGGTTCTGTTCTGGTCAACTCACACAACAGGAGTGCTCAACTGATGGCTACCAACTTTTCAGAAGGGACAGGCAAGGAAGGAGAGGTGGTGGGGTGGCCCTCTACATTAGAGATAGACTTGAACGCCTAGAATTTAACATTGTGAATTACAGTGTTGAGTGTTTATGGGTAAGAATCAAGGGGAAGGCCAATAAGGCCTTCATGGTGAGAGTTTGTTACAGATCCCCCAACAAGGATGTAGAGGCTGATGAAATATTTTATAAGCAGCTGGCAGAGGTCTTGCAATTGCCAGCCCTTGTTCTCATGCGGGACTTCAACTACCCAGATGTCTGCTGGAAATATAACATAGCAGAGAGGGAACAGTCCTGGAGGTTCCTGGAGGGTGTGGAAGACAACTTCCTGATGGAGCTGATGAGGGAGCCAAACAGGGAAAATGCCCAGCTGGAAATGCTGCTTGATAACAGAAAAGGCCTTGTGGGGGATGTAAAGGCTGGAGGTCATCTTTGGCATAGTGATCATGAAATGATAAGGATTTTCAATTCATGGAGAAACATGGGGGGGAGCCAGCAGAATTGACACCTTGGACTTCTGCAAGGCAGATTTTGGCCTGTTTCAGAGCACGGTTGAGAGCGTCCCTTGGGAGACAGTCCTGAAGGTCAAAGGAGCCTAGGAAGGCTGGTCATTCTTCAGGGAGGAACTCTTAAAGGCACAGGAGAAGGCCATCCCCAGAACCTGAAAGATGAGCCGACCAGGAAGACCAGCCTGGTTAAATAAAGAGCTTTGGCTGGACCACAGGAAAAAAGAGGATAGTTTAGGGCCTTTGTAAAAGGGGGTTGGCAATTTACAAGGAACACCAAGATGCAGTGAAGCTATGCAAGTGGAAAATTAGAAGGGTCAAGGCTCAAGCAGAGCTCAACTTGACCACTGAAGTTAAAGACAACAAAAAGACTAGGGAAAACATAGGCCTGCTGAGGAGTGAGGTGGGCACCCTAGTAGTGGAAGACACAGAGAAGTCAGAGTTACTGAGCACATTCTTTGCTCCAGTCCTCACTGCTAAAGCTGTCCCTCATGAATGCCGGACCCTGGAGGCAAGGGGAAAAGTCTGGAAAGAGGAAGACTTTCCCTCAGTAAAGGAGGACTGTGTTAAGAGACCACTAGACATCTGTAAGTCCAAGGGCCCTGATGGAATGCACCGATGAATGCTGAGAGAGCTGGCAGATGTTATTGCTGGGCCACTCTCCATCATCTTTGAAAGGCCATGGAGAACAGGAGAGGTGCCTGAGGACCAGAGGAAGGCAAATATCACTCCAGTCTTCAAAAAGGGCAAGGAGGAAGTCTGAGGGAACTACAGGCCAGTTAGTCTCACCTCTGTCCCTGGGAAGGTGATGAAGCAACTCATTCTGGATGTCATCTCTAAACACATTGAAGAAAAGGAAGTTATTGGGAGTGGTCAACACAGATTTACCAAGGGTAAATCATACTTGACCAATCTGCTAGCCTTCTAAGATGACATAACTGGTTGGCTGGATGAGGGGAGAGCAGCAGATGTCATCTACCTTGACTTCAGCAAGGCTTTTGACACTGTCTTCCATAGCATCCTCACTAGGAAACTGGGGAGTGTGGGCTAAGTGAGTGTCAGTGAGGTGGACTGAGAGCTGAGAGAACTCAGAGGGTGGTGATTAACGTAGCAGGGTCAAGTTGGAGGGCTGTAACCAGTGGTGTCCCCCAGGGGTCAATACTTCCTCTGGTCTTGTTCAACATATTCATCACTGACCTGGATGAGGGGACAGTGTGTATCCTCAGCAAGTTTGCTGATGATACAAAACTGGAAGGGGTGGCTGGCACTCCAGAGGGCTGTGCAGCATGACCTGGACAGGCTGGAGAGTTGGGCAGAAAGGAACCTAATGAGATTCAAAAAGCGCAAGTGCAGGGTCCTGCACCTAGGCAGGAAGAACCCCATGCACCAATATGTTAGGGGTGGATCTGTTAAAAAGAACTTCTGAGGAGAAGGATCTGGGAGTCTTGGTAGATACTAAATTACCCATGAGCCAGCAATGTGCTCTTGCTGCCAAGAGGGCAAATGGAATCCTGGGGTACATAAGGAACAGTGTGGCCAGTAGGTGGAGAGGTCATTCTCTCCCTCTACTCAGCCCTGGTGAGGCTACAGCTGGAATAGTGTATCCAGTTCTTGGCTCCCCACTTCAAGATTAGACAGGAAACTAGTAGAGAGAGTTCAGCAGAGGGCAACAAAGATGACTGGGAGATAGGAGCATCTCCCTTATGAGAAAAGGCTGAGAGAGCCGGGACTGTTCAGCCTGGAGAAGAGAAGGCTGAGGGGAGATCTTATTAATGCCTGTAAGTATGTAAAAGGTGGGTGCAAGGAGGATGGAGCCAGACTCTTCAGTTCCCAGTGACAGGACAAGGGGCAACAGGCACAAGCTGGAACATAGGAAGCTTCATTTAAATATGAAGAAAAACTTCTTTACTATGAGGGTGACAGGGCACTGCAACAGGCTGCCCAGGCAAGTTGTGGAATCTCTTTCTCTGGAGATATTAAAGACATGCCTGGATGCAGACCAGAATAATGTGCTCTAGGGGATCCTCTCTTTGCAGGAGAGTTGGGAGATGATCTCTAGATATCCTTTCCAACTCTGGCAATTCCATTATTACCTTTCTAGTCTCTCCAATCGCCTCTAATAGTTCCATGTTGTTGCATGGTTTCCCATTTTAAGTTTAGATATGTCAAATCAAGTTTTTACATATTAAATTCAAACAGTGCATATGCCAAGTTCATTTCAGTAGTCCTACCAACTGGCCACAGAAACAAGGTGTTGCATTCAACCTAGAGTATTACAATTCCTCTACAGCTTCAAAGAAAAACCATAGATTCCTCAACTCCCTTGTAATTTACTCTGTGTTCAGACTTACGTATCCAGAAAAAAGTTGACCAAAGCCTGTGAGTGTTCACTTGTTACCTTTTCTGCCCAGCTCATGAAGTTCTGAATTGGTAGCAAAGGTTCTCTTACTTAACATCAGGCATATTTAACAGAAAATTAAAAGCAATTGAAAATGTAGTTCAATTTGTTATGAGAGCCTTTTTTTGAATGTGTTGTCATAGTCTGAAGACTTCCTTTAAATACGTTGTAAGAAAATTATGTGCAAAGCTTATACATATTTCTCAATATTTATCCCTCATTAAACTTTACACTAACAAAATAAAATATTAATAAACTTTTAATAAAATAAACCATATTTTAAACCACTAGCATTGCGAAATAACAAGTTCTTCACTGTCAGACCATGAACAAAGCACGTAAGAGTGAGAATAATGATGAATAAACATCATAGATGTTCAAATGAAAGCATTAATCACTACTATCAAGCATTAAGAAAGCCATGTTGTTATGACAGGCTTGACTCTAATCCAGGAATTTATATGAGAAGAAAACTTAGGCCTTATTATATAAGTATTTCCCTAAGAGATACTTTGAAATGGAAACAAAAACATTAGTTGACATTTGCACCTGCTGACAGTTACATTGCAATGGAGCATTTATGATTGCTATTCGGAATATCATGTTACAAAACTAAAGAGAAGACATACCCAAAACTGAGTTTGCAATATACTTTTAGGAATGCTGACCAGCATATACCATTTAAAACAGTATAAATTAAAAGAAATGTTACAGTTATGCTGCACCTGTATGTTTAGAAATAAGAAAATAATATTCATTATATTGTCAGCTCTTATGCTCTCCCTATGAATTATCTCCCTCTCATATTTCAACAAGAATAATAGGTTTGTCACACTTTTAGGACTGCAGTGACTGCTGGCTAGCTACTCTTTTCCTGTGCCTACCTTAAAGAAAGGCTCACAGTCCAGTTTTTGCTGTAGAAAAGCTGTCAGCTATTGACAAATATAGCCCTTCAAAATACTGACTGTGAAGTTACATCAAGTGCGTTGACTATTCTGCTCTGTTTGTGGTGCATCTGCAGAACTTGAAAACAACTGCTTCATGGGACAGAGTTCAACTGCAATTAATCCCCTTGGTGAAGGAAGTTTGGTGTAATGTCACACTACAGCTTTTGGGGCAGTACGTTAATATAATACACTCTTGGTTGGACTCAACTTCCATTTTCCTTGCTTAGGCTTTAGTCCCATCTGAAAAACACGTCCATTTGTGGTCACACAAAAAAAAAGTGAGAGAAAAATCTTTCAACAACCACCCTTTTCCCACGTGGTCTCTGAATGAAAGGCCAGCCTGACACCAGTTGATTCACATGTATGGATATTTATACCAAAGGTCCCATTTTATCTGACATCTTCTGGAGCACAAGGTAAAATAATGCAAGTAAATTACCCCTTTTTCTCACTGAAGACTTCTCAACTTATAAATGCTATTGTTAGTCAGATGTATATATGCATACTCTACACCTAGTCCTGTAATCACAACCACACTTTGACAAAAAGAAAATAAACTTGCTTTTTTATTTTTCAGCCAGCCCTCCTCCTTTGTATCTAAGTCTTTGAACAGATCAATTAGCACAATTATTTACTCCCAAACCACTTGAAAATTTCCTTCATATGTAAGGTACAATATGTTCATTAAGAAACATTCTGAAGATGCACAGCTGCACTGGTATAATTTCCATCAATGCTTTTGAAAAATATGTTCATAATACACCAAGGTTTTAAAAGACACAGATTAAGGAAAGTATAGTCAGTGATGTTTCTAACTAGGATAACACAGCAGTTTTCTGAAGATGAGAGATGAGCTGAGATCAACACACTTCACACAGACTGGTAAAGGGTCCACAGTCTAAGTCTTTTTAAAAAACGTTTAATAGTTTTTTGTTTGGTTTGGTCATTTGCCAGGTTTTTTACTACACATTTGCTATATCCTCTTGGAATGGTAATTTGGTCCACCATTAAAATGGAGACACACTGAGCAGCAGCCAAATACCCTTTCAGTACTGCCTTGTGATTTTTATGAGTGTATAACCTGTGGAATCATTCACATCGGCTCTGAATTATTAATGGCACTGAATGATCAGATTGCTTTTTGTTAAAACTGTTCCGGGTATTAAGAACACATTTACACAGCAGTACCAAACTACTGTTTCTTCAGAGACTTTCAGATCAATTTTGCAACTCTCCCTTAAAATGCACCTCTCCAACTTCTGAGACTTGCGCAGCCGCCCAGCCCCACTCCGGGGCCCGCAGAGGCACAGGCCGTGCGGGACGCCCGCAGCGGGGCCGGCACAGTGACCAAGTGCACCCAGGTTACCACCCACCGCCGGACCGGGCTCTTTCCAGGAAAGCACCAGCGCCCAGTCCCTGGTCTCCGGAGCTCCAGCCTGCCCTCCCAG